CTGCCGCTTGGCGTGAGTTACTGGACTGTGTGGCCCTCCACAAACTGATGGTGGACGATGGTCCCGACCAGGTGCGTTGGCGTCTGGATCCTTCTGGCCAGTTCTCCACCAAGTCTCTCAACCTGGCCATCGCCCCCTCCTCCGCCCCTCTCCCCCTTACGACGGTATGGTCCCTCCGCCTACCTCTGAAGATCCGGATCTTCATGTGGCAATGGATTCGTGGTCGGGTCCCGTCTGGGGTCGAGGTTGGCAAGCGAAATGGCCCGGGCTCTGGCATCTTCCCGCTCTGCGATGTCCCCGAAGACTCGAATTACATCTTCTTTTGCATGTCCGCTCAATTCGTTTGGAGCTGCTTTCTAGAAGCGGTCAGTGGAAATTGGTGCCACACCAACTTTCCAGACTAATTTGCCGAACTCCAGAACTCCCACTTGACGTCTCGCCACATTAGATGGCTTGAGATCGGGGTCATTGCTTGGACCCTCTGGACAATCCGCAATAAGCTTGTGATCCAGCACACTCCTCTTTGACGAGCTACTGACGCTATCTTCAAACTCTCTGGTTTCTTGCAGTTTTGGCGGCCGCTTAGCTATCCTCAGGATCGTGACGCCATCTCCGCCTTCATCGCCGACCTTCGCTCGATGGCTGTCCGTCTGTCGCCGCCGCCCCCGCCGAAACCTGACTAGTCACATGTTCCGCTCTCCGGCGGTTTTCTTTTTTTTTTGCCTGGGCTTGTTGAGATGTGCCCTCAGCAGAACCTTTGTACTTATTTGCGAGACTTGGGTGTGTGTGTGGACTAGTCATTGTATGTGTGCTCTCTGACGGTTTGCTTTATTTATAAAGCGGGGCGAAAGCCTTTTTCGGTAATGAAGACTTTTTAGAAAAAACAGGCACCACACTCAAAACTGGGCCGCTGCCGCAAATAAGAAAAGCCCAGTAGAATATATACCAAGAAACAACCCCTGTCCAGACTGGCGAGCCCTGAAATTTTGGGGCCCCAGGGACGGCCCAGGCCAGGTGTCTGAATAATCTTGGTATTTCATACTTTTCGCCTAAAAAGAGGCATTTCATGCCATATTCTGAGGAGAAAAATAGGCATTTCATACTGCCACGGACTTGCATATAAAACGTGTGTGCATGGATGATGACTCACTCTTTCAATCCTCCTTTTGCCTTTGCACCAAAGCATCTTTACTTTATCCTCCACAGTTTACTCAAAAAGCACACGACTTTAGTCACCCGTGGAGTTTTTTTGGAAAAGGGGATGTACCCCAGCCTCTGTATCAGAAAGATGCATACGGCTCATATTATTAAAAGGATAATCCAGTAACAAAGTCTCGAAAGGTCGTAGTACAATCATAAACAAAAGCTCAAAAGAGGAAAGACCCAAAGCCACAACCGGCTGGCAAAACAATAGGATCACTACATGCCTATCCTATTACATGACCGCCATCCAAATCGGTTGAAAATATCCCGAGCTACCATCTCCCATCGGGTAGACGCAGTAACCAAACGCTTCCTGGCATCCGTTGGAGTGAGTAGCGACCACATACGGATGAACGCCGTGGCCCGGAAGATAACCCGCAAAAAGTGAATGGTTGTTGATCTGTTAAAGACTAAATCATTTCTGCAGTTCCATATTGCCCACAATAAAGCACAAACGCCAACCCGAATGTGTCTTGCAGTGTCAGAATCCACCCCATCAAGTCATGTTCCAAATAACATGCTGATAGAGGTGGGCTGATTAATATTAAACGCAATATGAACCGACCGCCATAGAATCTTAGCCAACGGACAATCAAGAAAGAGGTGTTTGATGTTTTCATTATGATCACAAAAGCTACATCTAGCCGAGCCCACCCAATTTCGTTTTGCAAGGTTATCCTTAGTCAAAATGACTTGTTTATGTACAAACCATATAAACACTTTGATACGTAAGGGTACCTTAACGTTCCAAACATGTAATGAGGTAGGGATGACGCTAGAGTTAATGACATCCAGATACATTGATTTGACCGAGAACACACCGTTCTTAGTAAGTTTCCAATGCAGCTGATCTGGCTGCTGAGACAGCCGGACTTCCATTAAACGTCTAACGAGATGGAGCCAGACCTCCCAACGATTTCCAACAAGCGTCCGTCTAAAACCAATATTGAGGGGGACAGATTGTAAAACATTAGCAACATAGGCTTCTCTACGTCGGACAAAGTTGTACAAAAAAGGATATTGAAGTGCAAGGGGGGTCTCCCCAAGCCACGTATCCTCCCAAAACCTCGTAGTGGCACCATTCCCAACAATAAATTTAGTCTTGTTGAAAAAGTGTTGCTTAACTCTCATCAAACCCTTCCAAAAGGGAGAGTCGGGAGGCCTCACATTCACCTGAGCCAAGGTTTTAGCATAGAGATACTTATTGCGCAAAATCTGTGCCCAAGTGGCCTCCGTCTCAGATGACAGCTTAAATAGCCACTTGCTAAGGAGACATATGTTTTTGACTTCTAGATTTTCAATACCTAAACCTCCTTGGTCCTTAGGCCTACAGATAATATCCCACTTAGCAAGCCTATACTTTCGTCTAAGCTCATCGTTTTGCCAAAAGAATCGAGATCGGTAGAAATCTAACCTTTTCCTGACGCCCACCGGAACCAAGAAAAAGGATAAGAGAAACATAGGCATAGTAGTAAGGACCGAATTAATCAGAATCAATCGTCCTCCGTATGACATGAGCTTTCCTTTCCAACAGCTCAGTTTCTTTTCAAAGCGATCCTCAATGCATTTCCACTCGATATTAGTCAGCTTACGATGATGAATGGGTATACCTAAGTACGTAAACGGTAATGAGCCCAATTCACATCCGAACAATTGTTGATACAACTCCCGGTCATCATTGGCTCTTCCAAAGCAAAACAATTCGCTCTTGTGGAAGTTTATTTTGAGCCCAGACAATTGTTCAAATAAGCATAACAACAGCTTCATGTTTCTTGCTTTCGCCAAGTCGTGCTCCATAAAGACGATAGTATCATCAGCATACTGAAGAATGGAAATCCCGCCATCAACTAGATGTGGAACCAGGCCACCTACCTGCCCTGCATCCTTTGCCCGACCTATTAAAATAGTCAGCATATCAGCCAATATGTTAAACAGGATCGGTGACATAGGGTCTCCTTACCGTAGCCCCTTGTGTGTTTGGAAATAGTGACCCACGTCATCATTCACCTTAATCCCGACACTCCCTTTTTGTGTAAAGAAATCAATCTGGTTTCTCCAGGCCGGAAACCTTTCATACGCAAAGCTTGTTGAAGGAAAGGCCATTTGACTTTATCATATACTTTTTCAAAATCCACTTTAAAAACTACGCCATCAAGTTTTTTGGAGTGGATCTCATGGAGCGTTTCATGCAAGACAACAACCCCTTCCAGGATGTTTCTATCAGGCATGAAAGCAGTCTGGGACGGCTGAACTACTGAGTGTGCAATCCGCGTAAGTCTATTTGTCCCGACCTTGGTGAAGATTTTGAAACTCACATTAAGCAGACATATAGGTCTGAACTGCTCAATGCGAACAGCCTCTGTCTTCTTAGGAAGAAGAGTTATCGTCCCAAAATTCAGCTTAAACAATTGAAGCTGCCCCTCAAAAAACTCCTGAAACATGGGCATCAAATCTCCCTTGATAAAATGCCAACACTTCTTGTAGAACTCCGCCGGAAACCCATCCGTCACCCGTGGAGTAGTTAAACCTAATTCGTCACTTTGATTTAGAAATGGCATATATCACAGCGTTAGTGGGACGCTATTTTATCCAATGGGAATCGCCATACGTCCTCTACCGGTAAGAAAAGAAAGGGAAAGGGAAAACAACTAGCAGAAAGCAGGTTCAGTATGTGCGTGCACTTTATAAAGTGACACATTAGGTTTTTAGCTGATCATACGTTTTTTTTTCTTTGAGCACCAGCTGCCCGATCATGGGTGTTATACTAAACTGTAGCTCCGCTTTTCGCTGATCACCTTTATTTATACAGTATTTAACTGATCACTTTGCTTCGCTTCAGCCTGCTTCAAAGGATCATGGGCACATTATGGGTGTAAATCTTTTTAACTAATTTGCACGGTTTAGCCTAAAAGTTGGCTTTACTTTGTACACTAGCTGCATGTGCCCCCGACGTAAGCTTTATGGCCACCTCATTTTTCATTTTCTAGCAATACATTTTTTTGCATAGAGGTCAAATGTCCCTCCATTCTTAAATATAAGTCTTTCTAGAGATTTCACTACAAACTATATACGGATGTATATAGACATATTTTAGTGTAGATTCACTCATTTTGCTCCGTATGTTGTCTTCGGTTAAATCTCTAAAAGGAGTTATATTTAGAAAAAAGGGGAGTAATAAGTAGCACAAAACCTTACAAAAAAAGTCTTGAGAAATTCAAAATTACATTCAGATTTTTAGTGGTGCAGAAGTCTTCTCCTTCCTGCATGTACCAACCGCGTGCCGTGAGCAAACCTCATTGCCGCCCCTGAGCTTTCGTCTCCGCGGTACTATGGTTTTGCGATCCGTGAGGTGCTTTGCAACAAGATTATGGAGAACAACCAAAGCTGCAAACTAACAACTAGGCAAAGCCAAAACACGGTCATACACATTGGTAACCATAAGCTGTGTAATCAATTAATTATACATCTATTGTGCTCACATCGACAAACATTCGTTGCTTGCACATGACTACTAAACATGCGGCAAGAGTTGCATACACGTACTTATCGGAGTAAGGTTGATCAATTAAATTAAGCCCCGCATTGCTAGCCCCCCTAGGCATGTTAGCCGATGGACTTCACGTGTGTGCACATTCCAAGCAGCTTCTCGTGTACACTGCTCTATCAAATTCCCCGGGCTTACCCTATAAAAGCAGCCCCGCAAGTAGCATTCGGAGCTCACTTTCCTTAGCTCCTCTACTCGTCCACACCACCAGGCCCAGCAAACAGTACTGTTCGTGAGAGGGTCATATACAAACATGCCGGACGTGATCACGGACACGGCGCTGAGCATGGCCGAGTCCTTGCTGGTCAGCGCCATTGGCAAGGCCGCCTCTGCTGCCACCAACAAGATGAGCCTCGTCATGGGTGTGCGCAAGGATATCTGGTATGTTCATATGCATGTCTTTTGTTCGAGTCATGATGAACTTCCCACATCTAGCCTTTTGCGTTTCTACCATGGAACTGGCATCCAATACCCCCTTTTCTGTTAAAACTTCAAGTCCGTTTTGTTGGGTTGACACCGGTTGGATATATTAATGCTCATGAAAGAGAAAAAAATGTTTTATTTAGCTCCGACTTATATTATGGCACCAAGTATTCAGGGCGGGCTTTGAACCTGCACGCATTGAGCTGCAGATATAATTTGGAAATCTGCGGGAGTGTACTAAGCGTCTGGTTGTATCGGGTGATTGCTATATTAATATAGCGGGGCGCAAGCCTATTTCGGTACTAAGCATCTTGTGCTTTTTTTCATTTGGTAGGTTCATCAAAGATGAACTAGAAACAATGCAAGCATTTTTGGTGGCTGCTGAAGCAATGAAGGAGAAAGACGTGCTACTTAAGGTGTGGGCGAAGCAAGTAAGAGACCTATCCTACAATATTGAAGATTGCCTTGGTGAATTCATGGTGCATGTGGCGAGCCCAAGCAGGTTGCGGAAGCTGATGAAGCTCAAAGATCGCCACCGAATCGCCATGCAAATACGAGATCTCAAATCAAGAGTTGAAGAAGTGAGCAGCAGGAACACACGCTACAACCTGATTCAGAAGGACCAGATCACTAGAGCCATTGATGAGAGGGATTCTTGCATGGAAGATATTCGCAACCAGTCAGCGTACAACATTGATGAAGCTGAACTTGTGGGGTTTTCCAAACCCAAACAAGAGTTAATAAATCTTGTAGATGTGCATGACAACAATGGACCTCCTCAGGTTGTATGCGTGGTAGGCATGGGCGGTTTGGGTAAGACTGCTCTTACAAGAATGGTTTATGAAAGTATGGATAACTTTTCATGTTGTGCTTGGATAACTGTCTCGCAGTCATTTATTAGGATGCAGTTTCTCAAAGATATGATCAAAAAGCTTGTTAGCCTTAAAGCGTTGGAGGACTTAATCAGGAAGGGGGCGGGACAAGAGGACCTCGCCAGGTTTCTTGAGGAAAAGCTACGCGAGAAGAGGTACTTCGTTGTTCTTGATGATTTGTGGCACATGAATGATTGGAACTGGATCAGAACTATTGTTTTTCCTAGTAGTAACAACAAAGGCAGCAGGATAATGGTAACAACACGAGATGTTGGCTTAGCTAAGAAGTGTACTTTGGGACCTTCTTCTATACCACTTATATACCAACATCAACCCCTAGAAACAAATGATGCCATAAATTTGCTATTAAAGAAGACTAGGAAAAGTGAGGAAGACATGACAAATGATGAGAGCATGAGGAAAATAGTCACCAAGATAGTGAAAAAGTCTGGAGGGTTACCCCTTGCTATTCTTACAATAGGAGGCATGCTTGCCACCAAAGCGATAGACCAGTGGCAAATGATTTATGACCAAATCCCCTTAGAACTAGACAACAACCAAAACCTTGAACCAATGAAGAGGATGGTTACACTGAGTTACAACCACTTGCCTTCTCATCTTAAGTCATGTTTTCTGTATTTAAGCATATTTCCCGAGGATTTCAAAATCAAAAGGAGGCGTCTGGTAGAAAGATGGATAGCCGAGGGGTTTATTATCACCACGGGTAAATCGCGTGCTGAGGAGGTTGGGAATAGTTACTTTGATGAACTAATCAACCGAAGCCTGATTCAATCAGTAAAAGTGAACATAGAAGGAACTGTGAAGAGCTGTCGAGTTCATGATATCGTTCGTGATGTCATGATCTCAATTTGTAGAGATGAAAATTTTGCATGCTCAACATGGGATAAGGCAACCGGCGTAGCAGGAGATAACTTCCGTCATGTAGCATATGAAGGCAGTTGGTGCCCAAATAAAGGCTTGGATTGGAGCCATGTCCGGTCATTAACTGCGTTTGGTGAGAGACCCATAAAGCCAGCACCTTCAGTTTGTTCCCCGGACTTTAGGATGCTTAGAGTCTTGGATTTGTATGATGCCAGGTTCAAAATTACACAAAAAGATATCAACACTATAGGGTCGTTACTTCATCTGAAGTATGTCAATGCTCGGTCTTCTAATTTTGGTTCGGACATTCACAAGCTCCCAAGATCCATAGGAAAACTACAAGGCTTGCTGAGTTTGGACATAACAGGTGGTTATGTGACATCACTACCAACTGATATCACTAAACTACAGAGCCTTCGTAGCCTCCGATGTAGCAAAGAACGAAGCTGGTGTTCTAGTAACTGTTGCATACCCTTACCTTGTTGTCTGAAAATTGTGTGTCTGCTGCACTGGTTGTGGACTGGTGATTTGCCTGATTATTATGGTGTGAGGGTGCCTAGAGGCATCGGCAAACTAAAGGAGTTAGAGATACTAGAGGTTGTGGACATTAAGAGAACTAGTAGGAAAGCAGTTAAAGAGCTTGGGGAGCTTATAAAGCTCAGAAAGTTAAGTGTGACACTAGGGGAGAGCAAGCAAAAGAGCAAAATACTTTGGACATCCCTTCAGAAGCTCTCTTCTCTCCTCTCCCTTCGCATGGTTGCTACTTCTCGGAGAAACAGTCTCGAGTGGTTGCATTCTGTTTCCTCCCCCCCTCCTCTCCTGAGGGCGCTGAGTTTGCGCGGAGAACTCGGGGAGCTGCCTGGCTGGTTTGGCAGTCTGGTACACTTGGTGAAGATTTACTTGCAGTCGAGCAGTCTGACGGATGGAGATAAAGGCATGAAAATACTAGGCGCACTGCCCAATCTCATGCTCCTTGGTCTTCATTGGGGGTCTTATGATGGGGAGAGTCTGGTCTTGAGAGGAAGAACATTCCCAAGCCTAAGGAAACTTGATATTTACGGCCTGAGGCAACTGAAAGAGTTGGTATTCGAGGAGGGTGCCTCGTCCCAGTTGAAAAACATAGAAATCAGAGACTGCAGCTTGGAAGCGGGGATTACTGGTATCAAGCACCTTCCAAGTCTCAGGGAGATTTCACTTTGTTGGAGGAATAGTAAAGTAGCAAGGCTTGTTATGCTGCAAGGTGAATTAGACACACACCCCAACCATCCCGTTCTGCGGCTCGGGCATGACTTGAGCGAGCATGACCTGGGTGACGTCGCCCAAGGATCCACTACCGCTGCGGTACAAGCGGACGACGTGATGGAGAGCTCCTCCTCACAGGTGGTTGTCGTGGAGATGGGGAGACACAGGTCAGTACCTAATTTCTCTTCCATTCAGCAGCAGTACCTAGCACAACTGAACATGATTTGATGCTCTCCCTTTGTTGTTGTTGCAGTAGCCAAGACCATGTTGAAGGGGACGTCGACGGCGATGATTTCCGTTCCTGCAACTCCGACGATGATGATGCTTGATAATCAATCGACGAAGCCGCTCCTACTTCCCCCGGTGCTCCCCTCTGAATCGTAAACCATGAAGTGATCATCCTGATATCTGGTCAGTTCAACAAAAATCAACTCCTTTTTTTTGGTAGTTATCATGTGAAAAAAGAACATCATGTTAGTTTGATAAAGAAAAGAGCACCTGTTTCAGTGTTCAGTGTCAGCATGATATCATTTTAAAATTTCAGAAATGTTGAAACCCAGGAGGCAATGAAGCAATTCTGCTAGATGAGGTTTGAGCAGGGAGTGTATCCACCTGAAGTACATCCTGTGCCGCCAAGGACAAAGATAATGCCGAGTGAAGTTGGAATTTATTGGATCCTTTTCTGATCCAGGAGAGAGCTAGTTTGTGATGGCTCGACAGTCCAAGCACCTCTGAAGCATGGGTGATCATCCTGATAACTTGGTGAGCATCTGATGTTCTTTTCAGCTTGCAAACACATAATACATTTGCTGCTGAATGAAACTCATGCATGATCTGCATGTGCATTTCAGCAGGGGAGAAGACGTGAACGGCGCAATGGACTACACCACACCGGATGCTGCTACTAAAATAAGATGCAGATGTGGTTATGCTGCAATCATGCCAGATTTTCAAGTCTACTGGTTGTGGCCTCTATATGCCACAAAGTGAAGCTGAGATACACCTGATGTTCATACGCTGCAAACTAATGTCAGAGTGAATTGCTCTTTGGATTGAAGGCTCCGTAGTGCATATAATGGAGGCGATGAAGCATGCTACAGCGTTATTTACCGAAAAAGGGTTTCCCCCCGCTTTATATTATAAAGCACCAGACACACGATCACAGGGTAACTGCCGGGGCGAACGGCACAACAAGCCCAAAAGGGAAAAAGAAGAAATAAAAGCCAACAACGGCAGCTCGGCAAGCACAAATGATCCGCCACCGCTGCGCCCTCCACCTTCGTCCCACCACACGCCATGGCACCGGCCCGCCGCATACCAAGCAGCACCTCCAAAAAGGAATGCGACGCCAACGACGCTGCTGCCCGGACGAGTCCTAGGGTTTCCCCCGGCATACGGAGGGGAGCGGGTGATGGGTAGCGCCGACGCCCTTCAAGAAGGAATGATGGCACCCTCAGGTGTCACCGCGTCGGAGCCGGAAGAACCGGAAGATTTCTCCCACATCCCCAAGCACCGCTACCCACTCGAACCGGGGCCATCCAACCATCAAGCCACCCGCAAGCACGCGCCACCACGGTCTTGGACACATCCACGCCGCCCCGCTGCGAACACCACCACGAGGCCAAGGAGGCCGGAAAGAAGCGCCAAGCGACGGGAGGAACCACACCGAAGCCAAGCGGGAGGGAACCACCTCCCCCGCCGACGTGCGGGAGGCCCGAGCCCCCGGCGACGTCGTGGTCGCCGACCGGACGTGGCAGCAGGGCACACCGGGCCACCCCTGGCCCGACCAGGTCCACAACGGACCCGCAAAGCCCCGCCGGCCATGTTGCAGCAAGCCGGCACCTGCGCCGCCCGCTCCCAGCCGTCAACGCCGCTCTCTCGCCTCCTGGAGGCCACGCCGCCGGCCCGTCCCGCCGCCGGCCCGCCCAAACCCAGATGGGGCCCGAAGGGCCCAGATCTGGGCCGAGCGGGCTGGTTCAGGCCGCGCCGTCGCCCAGTCGTCCACCCACGCCGCGCCAGGATCTCCGCCGCCACGTCGGACCGCCGCCGCCGAAGAGCACCCCCCGGCGCACACCGCCCCGCGCCGGGGAGCACCGAGAGGGGAAGGGCAGGAGGCCGCCGCCGCCAGCAACCCAGGGGCCAGGCCTGGCCGCGGGTGCCGGCGACGGCGGCGGGGAGGGAGGGAGGGAAGGGGGGGCTCTAGAGGAGGGGGGGCGCCGGAGCGCGGCCGGTCGCCCGCGGGGACGACGCGGTCGCGCGAGAGGAGAAGCCTACAGCGTTATTTCAAGATATCAGAAGGAGTTTAAGAGTGGCAACTGCCGGCCCAGATGACAATCGGCTCTTGGGGAATTCCATAGAATGGATCAACCTTATCTGGAGACGTGCAATTTTTTCTGAATACAAGTTCACTTCGTTTACTAGTACTCTCTGTGTTTTTTAGAGATAATTTACTACTATCCATTTGTTGCTGCCACTATATTTTTTCCTTGTTCATATACAAAGAATGAGGGTTGTATATGTTGTTATCCGTGTTGTGCAAATCTATGTCGAAGAAATAATGCAGCAGCTATATGTCATTAACTATGCCATTTTCATCGGTTTCACTTTGCAAATTACAGTTTGTCAGCAAAAAACCTTGTTGCACTACCCGAAACTTTCATAGTTCCTTTTTTGGAGGAGCAGTATTGTCCATCAATAATTTGTCCTCGATATATATGCCAATTGTATGCATATATAATTACCATAGAAAAATTGTAATTACTGTCTTCGACATCACGTATTTTCCCCTAAAAAAACTATGATTAGTGTGTCTGTCAATATGCTCTACAATTTTTCTGGACAAACATACAATTTGATTGTTTGGAAATCAGTGGAAGGGCAGCCGCAAAAAAAAGACAGGGGCAGCTGCTGCATGCAGACCTCATACCGGGACCCGCTGGTGTCTCCGGCGGCGAGGAGGGCCCGCGTCCTCCGGCTATCAATGCACGCCCAGTCCAGCGGTAGGCACCCGTGGCTCCGACCAGAATCACCGCGTCTTGGCGTCTGTTCGTCGGCGAAAGCGGCGGCGCTCGTCGACCGGGCCTTGTACATGTTTCATATGGGCTAGCCAACCGAAGAGCCCACGAGGATAACTGGGTCAATACTGACTGTACACCCAAATTGCCGAGCCTTCCGGTGTAGAAAAAAGCTTTACTGTTTGGTTCTTGATTTGCACAAATTTAAAGTTGATGCAGCCTAATTAACGTTCCCCTCTGCTGTAGCTTTGGTGATTCAAATTTGCAGACTAAATACGGTTGATTTATTTGAAAGATGTTATTGGAAAAGAGAACACGGCTGAGACCGCCGTGCAGCACATGCTTGGTATTTCAGAGTTTCAGAGTTTACAGTGTCACACATAGATATAAGAAATCACTTCTATATTTGGTCAGAGTGTTGTGATTATGAAATCTCGCCCTTTCATCCATCGGTCGCTATGGATCCAAGGTCAAACTATGGTTACAAAATTATTAATTTCAACTTGAGAGTAAGACGAGAACAAATTTGCCAAGCACTAAACAGATATATCCAAGTCTCGGCCACTCTTTACAGCATTTTGTTAACGGATGAGTCAAATAAGATCAAGTGGCGAACAGGCGGCCTATCAGATACCTTCTGACCTTACCCACCACTGTGTACATCTAAATCATGTATGATCAAGTTGAGTGCTCCAATTATTAATTGGGCGTTTGGCTTGAGCAATGGATGTCCCATCACCCTTATTTGTAATGATTAATTAACTAATTAAGTAATACCAATGGTTGCACTTGACTGTATAAAATATAAAGACTTGAGCGGAGAACACACTTATTCATTTGCTAAACAAGACCCAGCCGGGCTGTATCGATCAAGTCTTCCTTTAGACATTCAGACCGACTGTAATAATCGTGAGGATGTTAGCCATAGCTTGCTGGCAATGGCAATAATTGACCTGCCAAATGATAAAACTACGGAAATGTTAACGCCCACACGTGTGGGCGTTCACCACCCCGACCACACGCAAGCATCATCGTTGGCAGCTGTGTGCACGAATCTTGGAACAAACCAGGTGGTTTTTTGTGCCACGTAGGATGAGGCGCATGTGCGGTGTGCGAGTAGGATCGCCCGCACGTTGGTTGCCACCCCGCGGTCAGCGGTTGCCATCTGAGTCGTGTGGTGGAACTGCAATGCGCCCGCACGCCACGCTTCGACTGCGGTTGACGTCGCACGCCTCTGCCCCCTCCCCCTCACGCTCCCATTTACTCTTGTGCACCGCAGTTACTGGCAGAACCCACTCGCATTTCCAACTATCGAAGGAGAAGGAGAGGGGAGAAGGCGACGGTGAAGGCGGAAGAATCGACGGTGCTCGGGACCGTCGGTGGTGCTCGCCGGAACGGAGCGGCTCGCCGGAGCGCCTGCGGGTTGAAGGTACTGCTCGATGCACCCCTCGCAATCCCTTCCTGCATTTCCTCCCCTTCCCTCCTTGTTCGATTCCTCGATCGAGATTTGTAGAGATTCAGGCGATTCGTCGATGCGTCGGCGTTCCCGCCGGCGGCGAAGTCGTCTGCTAGACGTTTTTGGTTGCATTGGCCAGTTTCGTCGCGGCCGCGGCCGCGGCATCGTCAGCGTGGTTCTGCTTGTTCGGAGGCACGCACTAGTTTTTGCATATGGATTGAGTAGGTGTCTTCCGGGTAGTTTTTGATGCGCGTTGGTTCGATTTTGTATTTTGCAGTGAGTTCGTGGGAGAATTTCGAGGGCGAATTTGAAGTCGAAGTAGTTGCCATTGAACCCTAGATCTAGTTAGTTTGTTTTTTGAAAATGCAGAATGAGGCGAACTTGATAGTTACATTAACTATCATGATTGCGCGACCACTTACTCCCTGAACATATTTGATAGTTGCCACAAACATATTTCCCCTTGCGGCAACAAATTACTGAAAACGACTATGTTAGTTGCCACATGTTAGCTTTCGCACATGGCAACTAATTTTGCTGAAGTAATGCGATACTTGCCACACACACGCTCTTCCATGTGGCAACTAATTCTGCTAAACTAATGTGATATTTACCAAACACACGCTCTTTTTTCCGTGTGGCAACTAAGATTGCTGAATTCCTGTGTTAGGTGCCACAACCATTCTATTTTCATTGCGGCTAGTGTGTTTTCTGAATGTTATGTGACAGCAACCACGGTGTGACAGTTGCCACAATTGGTAGTCAGTGGGCATCCAAGAGCCAAGTGCCATTGCGGCCAGTGTGTTTTCTGAATGTTATGTGACAGCAACCACGGTGTGACAGTTGCCACAATCGGTAG